GGTCAATTTTTCTCTCTCTTGATACTGCTGGTGTTATTTTTATTGTCCGTTCCTACCTCCTCGTTTTTCTACTTTTCTTCCTTTTCTGTTTCGCAAAGCACTTGTAACCTACAAGTCCACTTCGGTTATAATTAATTTTGATCTTACCGACAGCTAAAAACATGGTATAACGATTTAAATAACATCATCCAATCACTGAGTCACCAGGCACCAATCACAACAAAACTTAGATGCTCAACAACTTACCCCAATTAACATTACAATCCATTTACCCCCAAGAGTCGGATCACTGACCGCAACAAGTCACACACACTGAACATTTTGCCTTCAGAGCTTGCATGACAGCCAAGCGTCACCAGACAGCGGGAAGTCCTGCATGGCAGTTTTTACTTTCCAAGGTTTCCTAAGTGTATCAGTGTGAACGCCTGTGGTCCTGTGGCAACACGCGCTCTGCTTAACGTCTTCAGACTCTGTAGTGTGTAGTGGTGGAAATAAAGCCGTTATTTCGTCGTATTCGGTTATTTAAAGGTTGGTTTTGTTTGTGTTAAGAGTCTGGTACGTATTTTTAGTGCTGTTATGAGCGTTGGTGGTCTTTCTTTGTTTTAAGTTTTTGGTGTTGCTAAATTTGTTTTGGTTATTGTCGTGGGTTGGGTTTTGGCTGTTTTTATTAATTTTATTGCTATTATTGTTGTTTTTGATAGATATTGTTATTATTATTTATTAGTATTGTTGTTGTTGTTTTTATATTATTTATTATTGTTATATATTATTATTTATTATTTTTATATTATTATTATTATTATTATTATTATTATTATTATTATTATTATTATTATTATTATCGCTGTTATTATTATTGTTGCTGCTACTGTTGTTATTATTATTATTATTATTATTATTATTATTATTATTATTATTATTATTATTATTATTATTATTATTAATAGTAGTTGTAGTAGTAGTAGTATCATTTTCATTATCATCATTGTTATTATTATTATTATTATTATTTCTGCTCTTTGAGTGTCTGTCGACTTTTCCATTTTCTCTGTCTCTGTCTCTCTCTCTCTGTCTGTCTGTCTGTCTCTCTCTCTCTCTCTCTCTCTCTCTCTCTCTCTCTCTCTCTCTCTCTCTCTCTCTCTCTCTCTCTCTCTCTCTCTCTCTCTCTCTCTCTCTCTCTCTCTCTCTCTCTCTCTCTCTCTCTCTCTCTCTCTCTCTCTCTCTCTCTCTCTCTCTCTCTCTCTCTCTCTCTCTCTCTCTCTCTCTCTCTCTCTCTCTCTCTCTCTTCTCTCTCTCTCTCTCTCTCTCTCTCTCTCTCTCTCTCTCTCTCTCTCTCTCTCTCTCTCTCTCTCTCTCTCTCTCCTCTCTCTCTCTCTCTCTCTCTCTCTCTCCCTCTCTCTCTCTCTCACTCACTCACTCACTCACTCACTCACTCACTCACTCACTCACTCACTCACTCACTCACACACACACACACACACACACACACACACACACACACACACACACACACACACACACACACACACACACACACACACACACACACAATTTCGCTCATACCCATACACCAAAAGCTATCTCCATCATATCAAAGCCATGTACTACCAGCTTACCTCACCCCATTATCCATTTTCTCAATTCTCAGCTTTCTACGTTGAGTTTGATTTTCTATTCGTGTCTCTGTGTGTATTAAGGGACTAGACTGTTGGGTCTATATCCTATATTCATGTTAGGGTGAAAACGAAAACTTTAGCGGGGATGTATATACACCATTCATGGAATAATTTCAGCCTGTGGTTTGTTTATGCGATTATCCGGACTTTCGGGTAGGTAAGGCCAAGCGAACGAAGGACAGGTATTTGTCAAAACGTTTCGTTCTTTTTCGAATCTTTTCATTTGTTTTTGTACGGCTTCGGATCACTCGCTACCGATAAACACATGCGTAACAGGTGGTCACTCTGTACATGTCAGTTGTGCATGATGTGTGCGTAATATTAACGCATTATCTGGTCGCTCAGGCACGTTAAAAATATCGCAAATGTTCGTTACTGAAGAGTCGTAGTAAGGACGTTGTGGGAAGGGGCCCTGGAGGGGGAGGGGGGGGAGGGGGAAAGAAGAAGAGGGGAGGGGAAGTGGAGGAGAAGGGGGAGTAGGGGGAGGGGGAGAGTGAGAGTTGAGGGCAGAGTGTGTTACAACTCCTGGCTCAGTGTGGCGTCTAACCTTAGCACGAGAACTTGGTACAGGTCGCATGAGTGTGCGTTTGAGTGGGGGAAAAAAGGTATATACTTCCGATATATCACAGAACAGATGAACTTGCAATGTACACTTGAAACTATAATGCCTCTCCAGTTGCCAGTGCATGTGATAAAACGCCTTGTCTGAGCCAGCACGTGGAAGAAGGCGGGGTTTGGAAGGGGGCGGGGTGAAAACAGGAGAAGGAGCAGGAGAGTTGGAGGAGGAATGGGAAGAGGAGGAGGTGGTGGAAAGATGTGGGGTG